GTATAATGGGTGTTTGAATATTTTTTAAAAAAATAATTTTAAATACATAATTAATTTTAATATTAATAGAGATGTTTGTATAAATTTTTATAAAATCATAGTTTTAACTTCTAAGATTGATTAAGAGATCATGCAACCAGGCATCACGCAACAGGCCGGGAAAATGAAATTCAAGCTCAATATACTATTAATTATATATCAATCATGTCTGACAAAGACAGCAAGCACAACAAGTAGGGGGAAAAAAAAAGCCCAAGAGTAAACCCAATGTGACTCTGACTCTTTCAAGTCAAAAAAAAAAAAACCCCCCAATATGACTCCTGAGTTGCAGCTCCCATGTTTTATGTTACAGATACCATTTATTAATTCATATCTCTTTTCTCAATGTGTATATCCTCATGCAAAATATTCCTCATATTTTAATAGAATAAATTTTAAATAAATAATGTATCTTAACAATAATCTTTCTCAAATTTAAGATACACTTGAATTTGTAACAACTTGTGTTGCTTAATTTTAACAGAATAAATCTCAATAAATTATGTGTCTCAACGAGCTTGATATGATAATTGACTAATATTAGCCCAATATACTATTCATTGTATTTCAATTGTCACTGACAAGACAGTTTAGCACAACAAGTAGATACTCAAAAGGAAAAATGATAATAAAATAATCCTTTCAAATTATGTAAATAATATTTTAATAGATCAAAATGTCATAATTTTTTTAAAGTCTCTAAAGCTTTAATATCATTAAAGAATTAATATAAATAATAAAATACTCTTAATTTAAATATCAATTGTCATTTACAAGTTTTGTTCTAAGATTCACAACTTTTCTTCTTAAAATTACAATAATTCAAGAGTAATTCGCAAGTTTGCATTTGAAATCTTGATATTTTTCAAATGTTACAAATATTAATTGCCATTCATAGGTTTTGTTTAAGATTTATAACTTTTTTTCTTAAAATTGTAAAAAAAATCTTTAAATATTACAAATATCAATTGTTACAAAATCACTGTATAAGAAAAGATATATTGTTTTAACATGATTCATATTGTTACAATAGACATTCCACATCTAAATGATTACAACATTCTAAATATCAAGGGCTAAATCTTCCTCCTACCACCAAGGACCAATCATCCTCCAAGAAGGCTACAAACTTCTAAAAGGGAGGCACAATTTCAAAACAAAAAGATTTATCATTGTTTGTTATGCCATCAACCAAGTCACACACTCAAGATCTGTAGGAATACTAATCCAAGCTAGGATGTGGATATGACATCTTTTCTATGTTTATTTTGTGAATTCATTTGCCTTTGTCTCGTACAATTTGCAAGGATAAATAATGATTTTTTGAATTGTGAATATGGTATAATTGAAACATCTTATGTATAAAAGAAGATTCAACCCCACATATATTTTTGTCAAAAGGGTTAATAAAAGTTATAGATCACATATGTTGGGTAGTCTACCAAGGTTATGTAACTGATAACAAAACATTATATAGTTATCATTTCTTAAGGTTTTCCTGTCGTTTAAAATTGATGGAACTTGTTATTTCTTTTGAATTAAAGTGATAATTCATTTTGGTTGACTTAGTTAATTTTGTAAGATACTGATAAACTACAATTTTTTATTGCATTCTTTGATTTTAAGAAAAAAATTGTGAATTTTAGAATAAAACTTGTGAATAGAAATTGATATTTAAATTAAAAGTAATTTAATTATTTATATTAATTTGTTAATGATATAAAAGTCTCTAAAAAATTCAACAAAATTATAGCATTTTAAAAAATTAAAATATCATTTACATAATTTAATGCATTATATTGTCATATTTCCTACTAAAAAAAGAAACAACAAAAACAATAACAAAAGCCCAAGAGTAAACCCAATATGACTTTTGAGATGCAGCTACCATATTTTATGTTACAGATACCATTTATTAATTCATATCTCTTTCCTCAATAATATATATATATATATATATCATCATACGAAATATTCCTCATATTTTAATAGAATATATCTCAATAAATAATATGTTTTAGTAATAATTTCTCTCAAATTTAAGATACACTTGAATTGTTAACAACTTGCATTGCTTAATTTTAACAAAATAAATCTCAATAGATTATATATCTTGACATTTGATATGATAATTGACTAATATTAGGATATTTGTCTTTACGGATGACGAGGCTATTTAGCTTTAGCAGCTTAGAAGAAAATGGTGAAAAGAAAATTAATTATTGAAAAGTAGCTAGCAGGTGAACAAGATTATTAGTGTTCATACAAAGGAAAATACAAGAGATAAACGATGATTATGTCAAGATAATTTTATTTATACTGCTCGCATGCTTTTATAAATGTATAGTTTTGACTAACCATTTGGAGGAATTAAAGAAATGGATTTTGTGAGAGTATTATATGACGACTTTGATATTTCTCAGTCTCTGAATAATTAATTAACGTTAATTAGGATTTGTTTCACAGGCAGGGTTGCCGTTAGCTTTGAAAACGGATAAGAGTACCAAATGGGATGAACTAAATATGAATGCACAATTATGTGTAGTCATTCTAAATAAGATATTAATTAAAAGTGATTCATTATGATTCTTGGGGAAATGAACCAATAATGCACAATTTCTTATTTCGTTGGGTTTGACTCTACTTTTGTCTCTACCAGCATCTCATCTACTCCTTCCTTTAGAAAAAATATAGGACATTTTAATTTAATCAAATTGTACACATAATAAATTAGTTAATTATGTTGAATTAATATTATTTTTTTATATTTTTTTATATTTTATAAACATATAACCTTATAAAAATGCTTTATATCTTTAACTGGAGGGGTAATTCTTTAAGTCATTGTTGGCTTGCTCCTCCACAAGGAAAATATTCTCACCAAATATATGATATTTTCTAGGAGTCCCATTAATTCCAAAAATATATGACAATGAGTCAAGTTTTATATAAATTTTTTCATTATACTCTTATTTTATTATATTCTACCCAAATAATTAATAAGGGTGTTTTGAATAAGTTAAATATTATATTTATTCAATTCTAAGGGTATAGTTGAAAATATGTGAAAATTTTTAGAAATCAATTTTAATCAATTTTTTTTAAAAAGTGTAAATTAATTAAGAATAACTTATATTATGATCTAGAAGGGTATAAATAAAGTTCATAACTCATATACAGAGAAAAAGGCTAGTCATTTTTATCAATAAGAGTAAGTTTTCTTTAACAATTTCTTAAATTCATTGGATTGGACTCCACTTTTGTGTTTACCACCCCTCCTTTAAAATATATAAGACATTTTAATTTAATCAAATTATACTTATAATAAGTTAGTTAATTATCTTTAAATTAACACTATCTTTTATATTTATCTATATTTTGTGAACATATAACTTCATAAAAAATTCGTGATATCTTTAAACAGATCAAGGGTAATTTTTAAGTCATTGCTGGCTTGCTCCTCTTCAAGGAAATATATCTCGCCAAATATATAACATTTCCTAAAAGTTTGAAGTAATTCAAAATATAGGACATTGGGTTAAGTTTACACTGGGTCAAGTTTTATGTATATCTTTCATTATGATTGATGGGGAAAGGAACCAACAATGCACAATTTCTTAATTCATTGGGTTTGACTCCACTTTTGTCTCTACCACCCCTCCAGTGAAATATATAAGACATTTTAATTTAATCAAATTATATTTATAATAAGTTAGTTAACTATTTCTAAATTAATATTATCTTTTCATGTTTGCTTTATATTTTGTGAACATATAACTTTATAAAAAAAAATTCTTGATATCTTTAAACAGATCAGGGGTAATTTTTAAGTCATTGTTTGTTTGCACCCTCAAGGAATATATATCTCGCCAAATATATAACATTTCCTAAAAGTTTTCAAGTAATTCAAAATATAAAACATTGGGTTAAGTTTACATTAGATCAAGTTTTATGTATATCTTTCATTATGATTGATGGGGAAAGGAACCATTGATGCACAATTTTTTAATTCATTGGGTTTGACTCCACTTTTGTCTACCACCCCTCCAGTGAAATATATAAGACATTTTAATTAAATCAAATTATATTTATGATAAGTTAGTTAATGGTTTTTAAATTAATATTATCTTTTCATGTTTGCTTTATATTTTGTAAACATATAACTTCATAAAAAGTTCTTTATATCTTTAAACAAATTGGGGTCACAAACATATGACATTTTCTAAAGCCCTAAGTAATCCACAATATAAGATATTGGATCAAGTTATATATATAATTGGAAATGTGTGAAAAATTTTAGACAATCAAGATTTTAATAATTTTTTTAAAAAAATTAGTTAAAAATAATTTATATTATGATCTAGAGGGTATAGAATAATGTTCAGAAATCATATACAGAGGAAAAGGCCTACTGACTTTGTATTACTAACAGCAAATATGTTCACCCTCTTGATCACCTGGTGCTGGAGAGATGGATATTTTATGCCTACTTGCTCATGTTTTAAATATAAATTAAACTTAACAAATTTTACAATTATTAAGAAATGATAATTATATCTTAAAATTGTAAAAACATGTGATTTTTTGTAATTTTACTCTTCTTTACAATTAATAATCATAATAAGTTGTTGTTTTAAGAATTCAAGCATAATTAATAAACAAGGGTTAAAATTAAAAAAATAATTAACTACTCTAGCTTTGTTTTATATTAAAGGGAAAAATAAATTTTAAAATCTAAAGTACGGCATTCAATTTATATGCTATTTTAAAAATAATAAATATATACATATGAGCCCTTGCACGTCTGTGTGACTTGTGAGGGGGTAATTACATTTATATTATGCAATTTCACCATACTATGGGTTCAAAATTAAAATTTCTCCGACTTCATTCCTTAGGTGCTTATTGCTATATATAAATATAAAAATATATATATCTCCCATTTCTCTCTAGCTTTTGTGGTTCAGTGAAATCTGATCATAGCAGTGAGTTGAGGAGAACGTAAGATTCTGTTCTACGATGATCAAGTGACATATCTGTTATTCTTTTATTTTCTTTGGCAATTACTGATATGATTTCGTTGGTGCAGATGATATTCGAACACACCAACAAGAGATGGAAATTCCTGTCGGAGGAGAATCTTCCACAAGCTCTTCTACTTCTGATTCAACTCCAGAATGGAAATATGACGTTTTCTTGAGTTTTGCAGGAAAAGACACGCGTTTGAAGTTTACTGGTCACTTGTATGATGCTTTTAACAGAAGTGGGATAAATACTTTTAGGGACGATGTAGATCTTGAGAGAGGGGGAGTTATAAAAGATGATCTCTTTCAGGCAATTGAAGATTCTCTTTGTTCAGTTCTTTTATCTCTGAAAATTATGCAAATTCAACGTGGTGCTTGGATGAACTCCAGAAGATTCTGGAATCCAAAAAGAAATTTGGTCGACATGTTTTTTCCCATCTTCTATGATGTTGATCCAGCCGATGTAAGAAAACAACAAAACAGTTTTGGAAAAGCCTTGGCTGAACATGAAAAGGAATTTGGAAAAGATTCAGAGAAAGTGCGAAATTGGAAAATGTTTTATTTGAAATTGGCAGCTTGGCTGGCTGGGACACCAGGAGCAAGTGAGTTTTCTTTAACAATGAATTAATCATTCCATATTTATTTAGTTTAATTTATATAATTTTCTGCTGATCCTTTTTATTGCTTTGGTTCAAATGGTTGTGATGATTTTTATAGTCTTCCTATTTTGGTTAAACATAGTTTTGTAGGGAAATGACTAAAGTGTCCTCCAATTAATTTTTTTTGCAACTTGACTTGTTATTTTAATAGCATTATTTGCTAACTCAATAAATGAACTTGTTATAGTACATATTTTGTATATTCAATATTATTTTGTTACAACATGCAGCAGACTTGTTAAAACTATAACTTAACTTGTTCTTATAGTAATATTACTACTTGTTTGAAACTTTAGTCATTAAAAAAATTAATTGGAGGACATTTTAATCATTTTTATGCGAAACATGATTTCAATTTAATTGTATGTTCTACACTCTAGCATAATTTTAGAATTATTTGGGATTAATTTGAAATTAAGTCACATCTCTGGTCTTGTAATAAAATCCTCTTCTATATTAGTTGAATAAGCTGAATTGTATATTATAACAAATTGAATATTTGTAAACAAAGTTTGTAAAATTTAATCAATAAATGTACATCCACGAATAAAACGAACTGCGGATAAGTTGATGTTTTTTGGAAAATTATCACATTTTTCATTTTAATGGGCAAATGGATCAATTCATGCTTGCTTGCCAACAAAGTCAGAAATATAGGCTAATCTAGACCATACTGGTTGGAAAAAAATATGGATTGAGTTAAGTGCCAACCATTTTTAATATGGGTTGAAAAAATCTAAATGCGTCAATTCACCAATCCATTTATTACACCTAAATCAGAAGTTATAATATATGATATGTCATGCAAAAAATTTACATTGTAAATGTGTGAGATTGATCAATTCTATCATGATTCATTTTAAACTTGCGTTTTATCTTATGAAGGGTTTTGGTGCCAAAACTCCCTCTATTTTTTTTTTATTTTTGTAAAATATGGTTGACTTGGCTAACCCTAACCCATTAAGATTAGTTCATTTGGTTCAAGAGTTATCAAGTACAAACCAAAAAAATCCATTTTTATATGTGTCAATTTTTATTCACCTGACCCTTGCAACATGTTATTTGGGACAATCCATATAACCTAACTTATATTTTAGGCTGTACTCATTAATTCACTTTACACTTAATTATCCATGTCCTGGACTCCTAGTTGTGGACTTCATATTTTATGAAAATTTAATAACAATGCACAATTATATCAAAATAACGTATTGCTGCTTTAGTGAACTATATTGTCTTATTTTATCATAACTATATGTTACTCATGTTAAACAATGTTCAATTATTTTGTAGGCATGAAGCAGATCTTATAACAATATAGTTGAAGTGGTATGGATTTATTTATGTTCCAAGTCACCATCTTTTGATAATAATCTAATTGGAATTGATTCAAAAATTGGTGATATGATGCCATATTTGGAGATTGGGTTGGATGAGGTTCTTTTTGTTGGAATATGGGGCATTGGTGGTGTTGGTAAAACAACTCTTGCAAGAGCTATTTTTGAAAAAATCTCTCAAAATTTGGAATGCATTGCTTTATTAACAATGTGAAAGAAATTTCAAAAACAAGAGAAGGCCAAATTTCTTTGCAGAAAAAGCTTCTTTCTGACCTCAAAATAAAAAACTTGGAAATTTATGATGTGAGTGATGGAAAGAACAAAATACGCGACCGAGCTCGCAATATAAAGCTTCTTCTCATCCTTGATGATGTAGATGATGTGAGTCAACTAGTGAATTGGCTGAAAGTCCAATGTGGTTTGGTAAAGGAAGTAGAATAATTATAACAACAAGAGATCGCCACTTGCTCACCTCCTCTAGAGTGCAAAGAATATATGAGATGAAAACCATGAAAGAAGATGAATCTCTTCAACTCTTTTCTAACAAAGCATTCGACAAAAATCACCCTGAAGATGATTATTTGGAGCTGTCAAAATTTGTGGTTGAATACACAGGAGGTCTTCCCTTGGCACTTGATATTTTGGGTACTTTTCTTTATAGAAGAAGTATGGCCGAGTGGACAGATGCTTTGGATAGGTTGAAGCAAAATCCAGATGATAAAATTCTTCAGGTGCTTGAAATAAGTTATGATGGGTTAAATGAGGAAGAAAAGACAGTATTTCTAGATATTGCTTGTTTTTTCAGAGGATGGAAGAAAGATGAAGTAACCCAAATTTTGGAAAGTTGTGATCTTCACCCAACAATAGGAATAAAAGTTTTGATTGAAAAAACTTTACTTGTTGAAATGGAAGATCATCTTGGAGGCTGCATTTTAGAGATGCATGATTTACTTCAACAATTGGGTAGGCATATTATTGGTCGAGAATCTAACAATGTTCACGAGCGTAGCAGGTTGTGGTTGTCAGAGGACATCGAGCAAGTATTGAAAAGTAACACAAGTAAGTGCCTTGTTTCTAAATATCTAAATTTTGTAGGAATAAATATAATGCTTTTTAAATGGTTTACTTGCTTATAGTTTCATGTTATTTTCCTGGTAATTGACAAATATTTTTATTAGGGATCACAAGAAATAAAAGCTATTGTTCCGGTTGGAACTCAATATCCAGTTGAAGTACATAAAGAAGCCTTTTCAAGTATGAGTAATATTAGATTACTCATAATAAGGGGAGGTATTTTCGTGGTAGTCTCAGGTGCCTTCCTAGTTCATTAAAATTTCTTGGGTGGAACCATTTTCCTTTAGAAGATCTCCCGCTTGAAACTCCATCATTGGATAAACTAGTTGCTATTAAAATGACTCATAGCAAAATAAAGCGACTTTGGAATGGAGTACTGGTGAGATCGATTATTCATGCATTATATTGTTTATCTCAATGTTGTTTTCATTGATAAATTGATTTCTAAGGCTGATTTCCAATGCTCTTTTTTTTTTTCCTTGACCAGTCTATGAAAAAGTTGAAGCATATTGATCTATCCCATTCTCGTGATTTGAATGAAACACCAGACTTCTCAGGAGCTCCAAATTTAGAATATTTAATCCTTGTTAGGTGCTCATCCCTTGTAAGGGTTCATCCCTCACTTGGAGAGTTAAAAAAGCTTGTTCGTGTGAACTTGAGTGATTGCTATCGTCTACAATATCTACCAAGAAAGCTGAAAGCAGAATCTTTGATAGAGTTAAATCTTAGTTGGTGCTTTGAAGTTGCAGTGCTCCCAGAGTTTGGGAAAGGAATGAAAAGTTTATCCTTGCTTGATGCAAGCAGTGCTTCTGTAACTAGACTTCCTGAATCATTTAGACACCTAACTGGTCTTAAAGAGTTGAATTTGAGTCATTGCAACTTTCGTGATGAATCAATCTTTGATCATTTTGGAAATTTATCATCACTAGTTATATTGGATTTAGGAGGAAACAGTGCTTTTGTTTAATTTACCAGCAGGTTGCTTCTCTAGTCTTTGTCGACTTCTCTATCTTTTTCTGGATAATTGCAGCAGGCTTAAGTCACTACCTAAGCTTCCACCCCGGCTAATTCGATTGGATGCTATGCTTTGTGATTCAATGGAATCTGTAACTGATGATCAATTATGGAATTGGTTGCATCACTTGACCATAAGGCATGTTTGTCTAACTACAATCCATTTTTCGATTTGTGTATTTCTTTTAACCATATACATATACATATACATGACATGACTATTCTTTCATTACAGTATCGTAGTCGAGCTAAATATGAGAGTTCATTGCTCAATAAAATTGAGGTAAGTCTATGTCTTTTTAGTTTTTTTTTTTTTTTACATTCTCACTTTATAGGTAACTACTGTTCATAATAGCGTTGATGTTGGATGCAGTCAGAACATCTTCCTCAAAGAGATTTTTTTGCAATTTTTCCCGGATGTGACATCCCATCATGGTTTCCAAATAAAGAGCATATCATTACTAGCGCTAAATCTTATGATGATGATCCTTCGGATGAATGTGTAATAAAGGTGGACATACCTCAAAATTTTAATGCAAGTGAATGGTCAGGAATTGTTGTATGCCTCAGTGTATCAAGATATGACTATTATAAGATATATGAAGATGGGGTTAGAGAAAGTTTTGGTGATGAGACGTGCTGGATTTCGTGGAGTAGTAAAGCTCTTGAAGATGATGATTATATTTACAAAGGATGGGATCATTGTTTCCAAGTAATTTACCATCCTGACAAAGAAGATTTATACGAGCGTGGTCATGGATTCTATTCGGATGGTACTGAAGTGGTTGGATACCTCTGTGTAATGGTGTTAGAATTAAATGAAAAAACATGTTGGCAACATCTAAGAGCTCATAACAATTCAATTCTAATTAAAATTAGACTTCATAGGCCATACTTTGGTTGGGATTTCTGCATGTCAGGATGTGGATGGAGGGTGTTATGTAAAGAAGACATAGAACAGTGGTGCAACACCACCCATGATTCCAACAAATTAACTGAAGAAGTTGCAGAGGTTAACACTTCTCAGATCTTCCTTCCTAACTATGTCTTGTCAAGAACAATAGAGGTACGTGGGTCAAGTTAAGCCAAGGCAAGACACAAAAAGTGAAGAATATGTAATAATTACCTCTCTTCTTCATCTCTTCTAGTACAGTCCTGTTTATCATTTCCTTCTACTTTCACTCTGACCTTCAAAAAACATTCATTTAACAAGTTTTAATTTCATATTATTGGGACCATTCACAGGCGATTTGTAGAGCAAATACATCCATTATTGAAGATATCAAGTCAATGTTCCTCCATAGAATGCAATCCCATGGTTTGGTAATCTTGGAACAACCTATATTTGCACATTCATTTCTTCCTTTTCTTCTATTCGTTTTTATCATTCCGAAGTAATTATTAAGGGGGAACTATACCATATTTAAATTTAAATGAGAAAAAAAATCTTAAAATAAAAAATTTCACCGCTCTTTATTCCTTACTCTTTTTTTAAAAAGAAACCAAATAAATCAATTTCATATTTAGAACTCGCATGCACATTTTCGTATCTTTTTCAACAATCTCCTTGTTCAAAACATTCCTTTTGACCCTTGTTTTTGTTTCATCTTTCTTTCACGTTGGAAAGCAACATGATGCCTCCCCATGCTTAGAAAAGTAAAATAGGCCCCATTGGCAGCTTCCCTTACTAGCCATTCTTTTCTAATTTTGTACCATTGTTATGAAAACCGAATCAGACCTGCTAGTTGAAGTGGTACCTAATCTGATCCGGAACAAACAAAAAACTGACCAAACAAGAACCAGTCTCAGACTGGTGAGTAGTCAAAAACCAATGAACCGGACCATAATTTTAAGCCGGACAGGTAATAAAAAAACATGTGACTCAAAAAAAAAAAGAAAAAATTACATATAAATTTCACACAAGAGAATTAATTACCACAAGATTTATTAATAATTAAATTAAGGTCATTGATAACAAATTTCTTTTGTATGAGATTTTAATGTAATTCTCTTGACAAAATGGCAGCCAATTTTTTTTTTTTTTAAAATATGCCTTGGGTCCATGGCTCATTCAAGCTGTCACACAAAAGCAAGTTGTTTTAGGACTCATTTGGATATTTAACTTTTGACATTTGAGAAGGAATTTTGAGAATTTTAGAAAGTCAAAGTTGTTTGGTTTTCTAATTTTTTTCAAAGTCCAATTCAAAAAGCTCTTAAAAGTCCTTTTCCTCAACTTAATATGAAGAAGCTTTTGAAATGTGCTTTTAAAGCATAGCCTTCCCTTATTTTTTATATGACCATAATACTCATGATTTTTATATAAAAAAATTTCATGCAAGTTTTTGATAGATCAAATTAATAAAAGTTCAGTTCCCAACATTTTTTTTTGAAAAATATCACATAACTAGACATTATATTGACTAAACAATTAACTATGTTAATTTTTAATATTAATATTATTGAATTATTTATATAATTTTTGTTCAATACGTGAAACTTTATATTTTTTATTCTTATTATTTAACATATTAAATTTTGTGTTATTTTAATTTTTTCACATTTTTAAACATTTTCAATATATTACATTTGAATAAAAAATTTTAAATTATTATAAATCAATGTTCATTTTGATCATTACATACTCAAAAGCACAAATCATCATTAATTCAAATAACTTTTAATTTAATAAATTTACTTTTGAAAACATATATTCAAACATAAATTTCATTATAAAAACTGACTTTTTTTAAATTAACTTTTGCCAAATAAATTTTTAATAAATTAAAAACCAAATACACACTTAATGTCATCATTCCTTTCCATTATATAGATATGAGCGTGCCTCACTCCTCATCACCCAAGCAATGTCAGATTATTTCCCTCAACATGTATAGACTAGCCAATCCTTCCAACAAGTTTGCTTTTCCCTCCTCCTTATCTTTGTTCATTTTTTGTTAGTTCTTTATACTTATTTTTTTTATGTATGAACATCTCTTTTATCTCCATTCTTCCAATTATTTATCTATATTTTTATTTCATATAATATCATTTTAATTTGGTTATAATTTGCCTATCAAAAAATACTTAATCACCAACCTAAAAAACAAGCATGCACTTCTTTTTATCTCTTTTTTATTTGATTTTTTGGACTAATATTTATTTACATATCTTTTTAAACGTATTTAGTTCTTTGTTTCTTTTAAAAAATATGTGATCACCATCTCAAAAAAAATCAACAATGATTTTGAAACTTAAAAAAAAAGAAAAATAATTTAAACTGTTCTATAATATTTAACTATATCAATTTAATTACATTTGGTCCAACCGACGTAGTCTGACTATTAAACCATAAACCAATGCCTCAATCCATTCAATGCCCAATTCGGTTCTCATAATATTGCTTTGCACTCAAAGGGCTAGGGTTGTTTTTTTGAAGTATTCCTCTTCCATCTTATCTTGAAAATAAACTTTATAAACATGTTTTTCTATCACACAAATTATAAGCAAATTATCAAAATTTTTGGGAGTAAAAGGCTTCATGCAATTGACAAAAATTCACTACACAAACTGAGTTTACTATCATGCCCTAAAAATAAGGCATGACCGATATAAAATCTAAGAACAAAACTCATATCCTAAAAAGCCTCAACTTAACAAACTCTAATTTTTAAATTATGAAGATATCTAACAACCAATCAGACCATTTTTAGTGCAAATAGTAAGAATAATATATTTAATATTTTTGTAAAAGTCGTGACAAAACCTTTCCTAAAAATAGGGTTTCTCGAAAATTTTACAATAATATTTTTACACAAAATAACAATTAAGAGCTTAATTCTTGACATCAAACCAACAATGAAGATAATCAAATGAAGATCCTAACTATAGTCTATGTGAAGCATCTAAACATACTTTTAAAACATAATACATAAATTGCCTAATTACATTAAAGGAGGTATTTACAAAACAAATTTTCGCCTAGCTTAACAAAAAGTTTCTTAATGGTCAGCAGGATGCACAGTATCAATGACACTATTTGAGATCAAACAAATATTTTTCAGTGAATAACGTCCCAATTATAAAATTTTATAAGATTAAAATGAATAATTTACAACAGCTATGGAAATTAAAGATAAAGCAATTCAATATAATAAAATTTGTACATTTAAAATTAAAAAAATCTATACAACTTCAATAAAATGAACCTTTAGATCTTTAATGAAGCGGCGGCTCCAACATTTAGTCTTGACAAGTCAAATGGATTAAATAAATAAGTAAAAATAATACCATTTGTTAATTAAAAACATTTAGAATATAAAATCATCAGTTAATTTAAGAATTCATATTTTTGAAAATTTATCAAAACAATTCACAAATGTGGACATACAATTCATGAAATAACTAACTAAATACGGCTTATGCCATGAAGACAAACATGAACATAGTTTACGGGGGTAATACTAACCAAATGCAACCGAAGCCATAAAACAAATGTGGATAGACAGTTCACGAGGGTAATACTAACTAAACGTGACTCGAAGCCATGAAAACAAACACAAGTGTTAGCTCTATGAATAACAAACATGAGAGTAGAGCTCATGAAAATCAAACTAACTAGTCATTGACCATAGTACGCCAAGGGCTAACGGAAGTTCCATTAACAACTAGTGTTATGTATAATACCCCCTTCAAATTCATTTCAAACATGAGAGGATATCATAAATATAAAAATACAGTTTACATTTTCAAAGTCAAATTCACATGAATAATTTTAAGTAATAAAATATTATCAAAATAAAACTTTGTAACTAATATCCATGTTTGGGCATTTATGGAATAACCCAAAAATAATCACAAATTGATAAAATAATCTCATTAATTTTAAAAGTATCCTTCATCAGATAAAATAACACATATGCATACCATATTTCAAATATTCTTCAATATCACTTTATAAGTTTTCAAGACAAAATAATTTAACTAATAAAGTTATTTACGTAATATAATTGTTAATAAATGATCTACGAAAAAATATATATTGGAAAAGAATTTATTGATAAATCAGTTGGAGCGTTATCTACTTATCTATAATGTGTCCAAGTACTATAATTTATTTTTTTGGACTTTAATTAACTCTTCCTTACCACTTCAATTGCGAATTCCTTCTCGAAGTTCCCTATTCACTAATAATAATACAAAATTAGTGACCTTTACCCAAGTTAGTAAACTCCCTTACAAAAATAACAACCACCATGGTCTCTGAGTTCCTAAGTTGATCCAACTTATACTCTTGATCAATAATCCCTTCAATATTGTTATATATACATATCACACATTACAACTCAAATCTACAGTCCAAATTAATTCAAAGGAGTGGAATAGATAAATCTTAACTCCAATATTTTTGATACATTGCATCAAATATCCAACTAGCTACACCACCTCCATACTCATCCGATTTGTTTGCCAATACTCTAGTGAAACTCACAATAATGTTATAATCAAAATTCTTCACCAAAACTGAAGT